TGAGGCAGTGATGCGCGCGCAGTATGGATGACAAGGCCAAACAACGGCAAGCCTGAAACGTTTCGTGCACCAGGATTTTAGTGACCGGGGCTAACCAAGCATGGCTGCAAAAGGTCATATTAAGTGCTGAATCAAACAAATCACAAGGGCGGGCTCCAATTCGCTATTTGCAAACAAAGTTTGCAAGGGGCCTTACGGCAAATGGACTAAGGAACAGGGAAAGGAACTGTTCTAAACCTGTTCAATTCCTCAGCTGCAGGGCATAGCCAAGTGGCAATCCACTAAATACCGGATCGCGTCATCTACAGTTGGCTCTGATTCTTCAGCCGGAAGTTGCGTCAACTCGTGGGGGCTGGTCTCATCCTGAGCGTGGCTTGCGCCTAGGGCTCCTGTTCAAGTAGCTACCCCGAAAAAAAGAATTGTTGTTACAGAACACCAGCCATCCTTGAGCTTGAAAAATGGTGGCCAGCTCCATGTGGGGCACTGTACCCGCACTGCGGGGCAAACCAAACATGAGCATTGGTCAGAGCATATCTGAGTCTCACTTGCCCAAAGGATCTGACAATAAATTTATTCATCTTCAGGACGCTTTCTGCACATGAATCACAACTGAATAGTCAAAAGGACCAAACAGCTAGCTTTGATCTGAACGCAGATTTATCGATTGAGGACACTATCAACGTCAGATTTTTGCGGGCAGTGATGGGGTCCACGCCAGTCGCAAATCACAGATTCGTTGCAAAGGCCTTCAGCTTGATCAGGTCAAACATCTGTGACCCCCGTGACGTTAGACCTCCTTTATTAATAGTCCACTCTAGTGTAGAAAGATTATTTCTAATTCAGGATCCTGTGACTGTTTTAGGGGTCCTCTATTATGGAAAGTTTTTTGTCCGGAAAATGCCGGAAACAACGCTGGAAAAAATGTGGGCAAAACAACTTGGCAAACAAGTCGGGCAAAAAAAAAGGCACAAAATCCTGGCAAACATTGGGAAATCCTTTTCTTGAAGTGCTCCCCAAACCATCAAATTTAAGATAACTTCTTTACGAAAAAGCGCGGGCAAACAGTCACACAAAGGGGGGGGTGCCCAGATGAGGCCCAGATCCTCTTTAATGATACTGTGTTGGGGCCCTCTTTAGTGTCCAACTGCTTTCGGGGGTTGCTGAAAAAACGGTCCTTGGCAATATTAAAGTAGAATTGGCAATACTAAAGTAAGTACTGGGAAGCTGAGAGCCAGCCTCGCAATATTAAAGCAGAATTTGCATTACTAAAGTAAGTACTGGGAATCTGAGAGGGGACCTTGGCAATACTAAAGTAGAATTGGCAATGCTAAAGTAAGTACTGGGAATCTGAGAGGGGACCTTGGCAATACTAGAATAGAATTGGCAATACTAAAGTAAGTACTGGGAATCTGAGAGGGGACCTTGACAATACTAAAGTAGAATTGGCAATACTAAAGTATGTACTGTCCCTCCCAGACCCCCAGGATTTCCACAACAGAGGGTCTAGCTGACTGGTTCCACTGCTCAGGGGGGGTGGGGCCGTGTAAAGAGGGTCCAACATTATCCATCCTCCCGCTCAACTTCTTGCCTGGTTCCAAAGCTAGCATTGGTCCCTCTCCCTTGGCAGACCAACCCGCCAAATCAAACTCTTTGTGATCGGTTTATTTACAACATTTACTTTCCCGGTTGAAAACGTTGCCGTCTGTGCACCAAGCCATGCCTTGTAGTAAAACATAGTAAAAGCGTAGCTTGGCCACCACTGGCAAAGAAGACACAGAAACAATGAACACAGCCCCACTGAAAAGGAACGGTGGCGAAGACCGACCTCAACAAAAACACAACTCGGTTGCTTGCTGCTCCCCGGCTAAAGGATTATTTTTTTAGTGGTGTAATGGAAAACCCATTAGTTGGCAAAAAGTTAAAGTCCTAACATCCCTTGGCAAAAATGCACCAAAGAAAAATAAAAGGTTGGGAACCCACCACTCGACTCAAAGTCCCCGGTGCCATGCCTGGACCTCGGGCTCACAGTCAGCCATGGCGCTTTGGGCAGGGCTCGCAGCACCAGTCGGCTCTGCTACTCACACTTTGGAGGTTTGGTGAAGGTCATTCTACATAATCAAAGTACATATCTATGTATATATATATCTCTCTCTCTCTCTCTCTCGCTCTCTCTCTCCCTCTGCTTGCTTGTCTGATTGTTTTCGGGTCTGTCTGAGTGCCTGTTTGTCTCTCTGCCTGTTTGTCTGCTTGTTTCCGTGTGGAGCCTCCGGAAGCGAGAAGCGGCTTAACAACGCTGACAACGCAACAGCAAGACAAAACAAATGAACTCCAAGTCATTCAGAGGCCTGGGGCCAGATTGTAAAAAATAGCTCAAGCAGCCTGAACAAAAACAACCTGCCGCCACCGGCGCAACGCTACCATGCAGCCTACAGCAACGACTTGTGGCCAGCAAACTTACACCAGCTGGCATGTCCTTGTCGGGCAAGCAATGCTCCATGGCTAGGTCAAGGCAGCCGCCGCAAATAATGAATAAAACGTCAGAGACACATCATCTGCAGCATCAGATAGTCCCAGAAAACCCCTGCAGGCCAATACCAACATCTTCCGTGAGACAAAACCCCGGCGCCTGGGAGTCACGAGGCCTAGGAGCGTAGCGAATGAGCATGGGCTGTTCCAGTGGCGCGTATGTTGAACTGAGCTTCTTATTCTTGGGCGACACGTAAGTTGCACGCATCCTGAGGGCAACTTCCAAATGGTGTCACGCTGATGTGACTGCAAAGGCGTGATGAAACATTGTATGAAAGTCTGCCATACGTTGTTGTGACAAATATTCTGGCAGATCGAGCCCGTGCATCAGCTTTGTTGACAACTTGTTGTTCCTGACTATGTACGTCTAAGCATGCTTTGAAGAACCCCTGCCCTCAGCCTCGTGCCAACCGTTCCTGCTTGGAACTTGGTACCTTCCTGAATTTTTGTGAACACACAATTGCCCTCCGCAAGCCCAGCCGGCACAACACCAATCCCACAAAAGGGTAGCATTTGGGACTAACAAGGCACTTAGTTGGAGTGCCCCGCCCCAAACAATGAAAATAATTGTTGCCTCCCTCCAACCATCTGCAAATCCCCAAGTGATGCCGAACCAAGTTCAAACTCAATCCAGCCGGAAACTCAAATCCACTTCAGCTGGAAGCTCCAGCATGCACAATCTCGGCGAAACTCAACCCCCGCAATATTGCATTGAGTGACAACTCAAATCCTTCTCGGCAGAAGCTCCAGCAATACTATAATCTTCATGGACACTTAAACCCAGCAGCAAGATCTCATATACTGGACATGTTAATCCTATGAAAACTGTAAGCCCCAACAATACCAAATGAAAAAGGAACTCAAATTGACCTTGGTGGGTGCTCAAGCACTTGAGTGGGACTGCTTGCGGAAGGGATGGGGTGTTTTGCATCAAGGGCCTCAACCTCATGTGCCTAAAAAATGGTTTGAAAGAACATTTGGCGTGACAAATTACACACACTCGCCCAGGCATTCAAAAGATGAATCCCAACAAATGATACACGTCCAATGGGCGTTGCCGCTTTGCAAATGAGCCACCACCAGACGTTTTGCCCATGCATGGCATAAACCCTCAATCAGCAAATGAGCAATGCTTCCACGTTGGCATAGACAGACAACAGAACGGTTCTGGCCTTTATTCATCTTCTTCCCCGTTGATGCATTGCTGGGCAGCATGGTGATGCTTGTCCACCCATTTCACATTCCAAAAACGGATTGAAACACCAAGAGCATCCTTCCAGGCTCGAAGAAGCTGCATCGCTGCTTACAACCAAGGCAACGTTGGCTGTGCTTAATCAAGGCTTGAATCTCACAACGTACAGACAATCCTCAGCTATGTGGATTGTGGGCCGACCTGCAACCGTGACTTTGCCCTCTTCCGAGTCCCCATGATTTGGCATTTGACGCATCCTGGAAACGGAACCCTTTCCGGCTCAATGTCGTCTTGGCCCGCTGGCAGGCTCGTGGCTGTTCACTCGGCACCTGTCACGGCTCCAGGCAGCGCAGCGGGGTTTGGAGCACAACGAGGGCTGCAGAAAACAAAGCCACTTGTTTTCAGTTGCCAATCTAAACAGAGACATTGATATCGAACACAGTGCATTCATTGATGGCCTGTCTCCTGCAGCATCCTGCACGGGACAAGTAACCCCTGCAAGTATGCAATAGATGAGAAGATGTAGCTATCATTCCAGGATTCCAAGTGCTATGCGCTGTTCCACGCTACCAACGAAAATGCGTTGCTAGATTCCTGGCCAAACCTGCCCTGCCACGAAGGCCGGAAGACTGCCAGTCTTCACTCTACACCTGTGCTGTGCACAATGGCTCCGCATCTTCCATTTCTGCGCTGCTTGGAGGAATCTGCGCTGCTTGCGAATGCCCACGCCCCCTCGCGCCTCCACTTTCGTCGCCTGCGCAAGGGGAAGGGCTGCAAAGGCTTGGTGGCAAGTGCTGGTTCTCGAGCGAGCGGAAAGCCTTGATTGAAACGCGCCTTTGGGCGCAACAAGTACGGTTTCTCCAGATTCTCACCCGCGGGGGGTGGACCGGCCAGTGAGCCACTTTTGCGCTTTGGTGCGAAATGTGTGACAAGGATTGCCATATTGACATATTAACTGCAGAAAAGTCTGACAAGGCAGGAGAGCATGCTTGTGGCATAATTGATGCACATCATTGCAACAGAACAAATTAGAAAGAACTTGCGCCGGCAATGCGTGTTTAGACTTACTAATGCCAGGAACTGTTCGCACAAACATGGACTCAGGGAATCGAGGCACTACTAAACATCACTGTGGGCAACCCGAAACCTTTTCACATGGAGTGTTGTGGAGGCCTTCTAATATAACAAGCAAATGGGCCTTAAAACCATGGCAGGCTCATGACCAAAGGTACACAGTCCTCTCCAAACTCTTGCTTGACCCCGCGCGCTGCGCAACAATTTTGCCATCAAACGCTCACGGGCGCATCAGCCCGAACAGTCATTCGTGGCATCGAGCGGTAAGCCTCCTCGCGTGCCTTGGGCTGACCACTCGCAAGCAGCCAAATATTGGGTGCAAAAATCGGCAGCGCCGACAATACTATCGCAAACAGCTCTTGATAGTTTCTTCCAGCGGAGCTTGTAAAAGTGTGGCTTGAGGACCGGCTTGGGGAACAAGGACTTCATCCCAATCTCTCTTCTCCTCCTTTCTTTTGCACGCAGCAACTGAGAAGCCAGGGCGCATCCATCTCTTGTCGCAAAGCACGCGCGACCTGCCACGGAATGTCTGTCTCTCGGCGTCCCTGCCTAAGAAAGCCTTGGCGGCATGCCATGGCCCAGGCCTCTGCGCGCACGGGGTGCGCGAACTCGCAGGCGGCATCCGAAGCCAAGGACCGCACAGCGGGCAGCTCGTGGCCTGAGTCTTTCTCTTCACTCTGCTGGAAGCCTTGACTGCTAGTGGTTCCCCTGACATGGTCGTAAGGGGTGACTGCCAGCGACTGTGGAACCCGCGCTTCGTCTGTCCAAGAATGGTTCCGACTGCAGATGGCTCCAAGCCTAAAGCCAAAACAGCACGTGATGTTGGCCGTCCAGGGAGCGGGGCGCCATAAGCTAGTCAAGCCTTGTGGAAGTGTGCAGAGAAACAAGGTGCTTACTTGATGGAGCGATGGCGGAGGAAGCCTGTTCCATGCTTGGATGTTGGCTCACATTGGCTGCCTGCAAGGACTGAAGCAACCACAAGGCAAGCCTTGACTACAATGGCCAGCACGTTTATGTCCGGAACATTGGGACATGATGACATGTGATGACAATCAACTTGAGTCCAAAGAAGCAATGTGGCGTGGGTTGCCCAAGCGTAAAGCATGACGCAACGGCCGCAAAGGCGCTTGTCTGGACTCCTGCCCGAAACCATGTTCTGACTCAACCTTGAACAGAAAATGCCAAGCGGCTTTGATACAGCTCCCGCTGCTCGCAGGGATGACAAAAGAAGGACTGGAGGATGTATCTAGTTCCTGCATCACCATCACAAGCCCTCGTCTTGCAGAACAATGCCAAACAAAGTGTCCAAACACAGGTTGGCCGAGTACGCGCCTTCGCCATTGTGCCGTGCATCGTGGACGTGCGTATCCTCACAACCAGACCGCGTTTGCGCTTGGGCTTCTGAGATATGGTGATCATAACCCTTTCCCTTCGTCTTTGAAGCAAACCTCCACGAGCAAGTTTGAGATGAGGCTGCTTGTAGCAAATTCAAATGGGTAGCCGGTAGCCCTGGTAGCCCTGACCAGTTTTATATTCAGCAGAAGGCACACGCGTGCTAATGGCAATTGAGTCACAAGAGCAAGCCAAGCTAACGGGCCCGTGTGATGGACCACACACACAGGAAAAAAGCAGGAAGAGCAAAGGGGGCTGGAACGCAAGGAAGGTCAAAGCATCTGTGCGGGCGACAGTGCAGGACTGGGTCGCGACTTGGCCAAGCCACGTCCCACACGAAGGCTCTGCCCACTTGCCAGCGCAAGCGCCGCGCGGGGCCCACGTTCAGCTCGGTGCCCTCCGCTGTGATGAGGCCCAGGTGCGCGGCCAAGCGCCGGGAGTTGCCGAGATGCCTCGGCGGCGCACGCCCGTCGAAGCCGGGCACCCCGTGCGTGGAAACCGCAACGCACGCTGAAAAGCAACGAGCCACACAGAAAACAGGGGAGAGCTGGCAGTTGTTCCTTCTGACCATCCTTCCAAACCCCAGCGCAGCCCCCCTCGCCAGCCACCAAAACCTCAGGGACAAAGTCCAAGTCTTCAGCCCAGGCACGGCTTCAGCCAGGCATTCGGCTCCAACCGCGCCAGGAAGGCGGCGCCTCGCCCGCAGCGCAGCTCCGGGCGCGCAGCCAAGAGCTCACAGCTCCTCGGGGCGAAAGCGCACCTCGGATCTCGCATCGGTCGGGGGCGGAGGGCATGGGCTGTGTTCTCTTTGAACTTGGTCTCTGTTTGCCCTCTTTGCCTCGTCCTTTCATGTTCTGTCTCTGCCCACCCACCTCTGCCTCCGCCCCCCAAATCGCGTTCGTACTTCCCGCGTTGACGCTAAAATCTCGAGGTTTGATGTGTCCTTATGTGTGCCCTCTCTTGCAGATTAAATTGAAGCCGATGATTCCAGCTTGCAAAGCGTGGTTGTTTGGTGCAGTGCTTGGTAAAATGCTTTGAAGCAGCTGAGACACGCCATGAGACATGGCGCGCACACACGCACAACGCAAAACACAGGTCATTTGCATGAACAAGGCTCTGTATTTTGAAACTAGGCCATCTGTCGCTGCTTGTGGCCGTGCCACCATGAAACTGAGAGGAAATCAAACATTTCGGACGGCCCCTAGTGTTGGCACATAATATGTCAAGGCAGAAATGCAGAAAGCGCAGCGATGCTTTCACCAATTGTTTTCAAGCTTACTTTAACTCGCGGCTTTAAGCCTGAACCCATCTGACTGCCACCTCAAGGGATTGTTCCTCTTTATGGTACATCTGAAGCAGCTGCGATCAAACATCTGAAGCAGCTCTTTCCAAACCCCGCGATGCCTGCAGGCTGAAACAATGGCAGCGGTGATGATCGTCCCGTACAAAGGCAAACACCCTCATATGTGACCTATGGCGCAAGCAGTTTATTGCTTGATTCATCCCTGATGTCCCAGCCAAAAATGAGAACCTGGTGAGGCATCCAGGCTAGGTTGAATCAAGGAGGCTTGGCCGACCTGCTGGGACATGTGTATCAACCACTGCTCAAACATCCGCATGTGGTTTTGGGTGGTCTTTGGCGGGGTTCCTTGGTGCGGCTGGTTTAGGAAACTCAAGGGTCCACAGGGGCTCGCAGCTTATGTCCTTTCCTCCCCGCCGATTCTAAACAAAACAGCACTGCTAACTGACAACGCCTCAACCAAGCCGGGTCCCCACTTCAAATGACCAGAGACCCATGGCCGGCAAACATGAGGAAATCCACAAACTCACATGAGCCACGGTCAGCCATACTATGCCTGTGGACACCGGAAAACGAGTCCCTCCCAGTCAAGCAGCGTGGCCAGCATGGGGTTCTCCTCCCTTCCGTCCAGCAGCTGCACGTGGCCCCGCGCGTCCGGCGGCCACACCGCCAGGCCCTCCGCATTCCGCGCCAGGCGCCGGAGCTGCTCGAAGAGGCCCTCCTCGCGTGGGACTTACGACTTGGAAACCTAAAGGAAACCTCCCAAGGGACCTGCCACTTGAAGCTCCACTTTTGGACTACCCCAGGGTAGACTTAAACCCAGGGCTTGGGGTAGTCAAGAAGTGGAATTGTGCCCAACGGCCACTGAACCAAAATGGGATACAAAGGAAACTACCCAGACGTAGTGGCACAAGCGTGGCCGCGCGGGAGGTTGGAAATGGGGTGGGATCACAACTCTCCGTGGGACAGAAGATTCGGTGCAGAACATACCAAATTTTTCAGGTGATCAGTGCCCTTTTGATTTCATGTTCAATCCATCCCTTCAGGCGCACCATGTTGAAACATGCTGATGCAAGCGACAGGCCCAACGCCAGCCTACACCTGAGCTGTCTGTCCTCTGCCAAGATCGCCTGCAGCTCACCCAAGAACGTCTCAAAGTTGGCCTGTCCAAAGCATCATACAGCATAGAGCAGCGAGGCAATGCCAACAGAATCCTAATCCTAACCAAGGACATACCCGGCGGTAGCATTGGCCGATGGCTTGACCAGGATGGCTTGACCAGGATGGCTTGACCAGGATGGCTTGACCAGGATGGCTTGACCAGGATGGCTTGACCAGGATGGCTTGACCAGGGTGTGACCAGGATCAAGTGCACGCGCAGGGTTCCCAATGCTGACGCCCCACATGTCCGAAGAGGAGTTGGGCCAGCTTGCTTTGCAACAAGGATTCGCATGCGTTCCCTGCAGGAAAGCCTCTTGTTTGCAGTGCAAACGGGGATCCATGTTGGACCCATATGAGAGCAGGCATCGCACATGCCTCAGTTCAACGTGTCCAACAAATACATTCCTGGAACGAGCAACAACACACGCAGCACAACTAGCCTGATGATGCTTCGCAAAGAGACACGCAAGCAGGCATGACCGGGAAAGACTTTGCCGCAAGTGGGCTTACCCCAATTCCCCTCTCCTCCAGGAACTGCGCGTAGGGGAAGCGCTCTGCCGGCCACACTGCGCCAAAGCTGCGGGGATAGAGCTCGTCGTTGAGAGCCAAATCTGCCGGGGACTTCCTGAATGCCGAGCCCAACCAGAGCGATGGAATATGCTGAAAGCTGCATACCTTCATACCTCGGGCAAATGAGACACCCCAGCCTCAAGTCCCTCCAAATATCTCGCACACCTTCAGACCCCTTGTGCATTCACGCAGCAAGGAGCTGAGGGCGAAGAAGAAGTTGCACAAATTGAAACCGCTATCACTATCTGATCAACTGAGTGTCCATCCAATGTCACCCAGCAAGGCCTTGGCAAGCATGCATCCATGAGGCTGGGACAAAGGCACCGCTGCCGCCTTCGCTACTAGAGCGAGTCTCCCCTTGCCATGGCTCAAAAAGGTGTGCCCATCTTGATGCATTTTCATGCTTCATCCAACAGGGTATAGTTTTCATGGCCATTACGAAGACCACCCAAGCACCCAAGCACCCACCCAACCAACCCAACCCAAACCAACCCCCAACCCGACCAACCAGCCAGCCAGCCAGCCAGCCAACCAACCAGCTAACCAACCAACCAACCAACCTTCCAACCTACCAACCTACCAACCTACCACCAACCAACCAAGCACGCACACACACACACACATACACTCTCTCTCTCTCTCTCTCTTTCTGCGGTGACGGTACAGGATGCATGCTCGACGGCCGTTGAACACCGTGTCTGATGACAAGGCCCATGTCACCAAGGCGCGTGGTATTGCACCTTCTGCATTTTTTCCTCAGCTCGGCGTCGCTTGCATTCGATGCA